GGAGGCTGCAGACAGGAGGGCGGAGGAGGAGAAGGCGAAGCAGCGCGCAAAGGCAGCCGAGAAGAAAGCGGTTAGGAAGGAGGGCAAGGCGAAGAACAAGGAGGCCAAGAAGGCGCCGCCTGCCTTCAAGCTAGAGGAGGAGCGGAGGGCGAAGGCTGCGGCAGAGCTTCGCGAGCAGGAGGAGAGGGCGGTGCGGCTGGCTGCTGAGCAAGAGGCGGCGAGGCGAGCGGAGCGCGAGGCGGCAGAGCGAGCGGGTGCGGCGGAGCGGGCAGCGCTGCGAGAAGCTACGGAGCTAGCAGAGGCGCTGCGCCGGTCAGAGGTGGATGCGGAGGAGGCGGCGCTGGCGCGTCGGGTGTCGCGGTGCGAGGGGGCGGTGAGCAGCGAGTCGACCGGCGGCGGCGGGGACTTGCAGCGGCGTGTCGATCAGCTGGAGGCGAGCCTCGGCGCCGCGACCGAGGGTAGCCTCGAGGAGCGGGTCAGCGCCATCGAGCGCTTGATCGGGCCAGAGGCGGCAGAGGCGGCGGAGCAGCAGCTGCCAGTCACTGAGCCGTTTGCTGCCGTCTCACTAGCGGACGCCGGCCTCGACACGGGGCGGCCAGCTGCCCCCGAGTCCACCATGGGGGGTGAGACGTCGTGCATCATATGCTTCGAGCGGCCGAAGTCTCACCTCGCGGTGCCGTGCAGCCACTTGTGCGTCTGCGGTCCATGCTCCGGGCTGATGCGAGAGTGCCCGTATTGCCGCGAGCCGGTGATGATGTGGCTCGCCCCGCGACCCGTGTGATTAGCTCGATGGAACCCATTTTTGGTGAAGAAAACAGACAACCAAGGAATACGAGGCTCGAGGGATGCGGATGGGAGGAGGATGACCGGCCCCTTGAAACATTTTTGATCCTCAGCGCTCGTTTTTGGGGGCGCGCGCCAAGCGTGTCCCCACTTTTGTATCACAGCTGCGAGGGCCAACCAAGGTCAGATGGTAGCGAGCAGGTCAAATAGGTCCTGGGCCGGAGGCCGGCGCGCAGCGCCACGCCGCCAGGCGTCCGCCGGAGGCCCGCCGGAGGCTCTTCCTGCGGCCACATTCTGGCAAGATTCCGCCGCGCTCAGGCGCCCAGAGGATGCGTGCGCTGCGCTCAAACGTCGCGATTTGGCAATAGGCGCTCGAGCCGGCGCACAGCGGACGGGTGCGCCGCGCAGGGGGGTCGGGGGGGTGCGAGAGGGGGCGTGGGTCGGGCGCGCACCGGCCGGCCCTGGGAACGGCCGTCACGTCGAGGTGGGGGGTTGTCGGCGGCTCGAGCACCGAGGCGAGCCGCTCTGCTGCGCCGCCGACAGCCCCTCTTCCGAGCCGGCGCGTGGCGGCGAGCCGCGGCCAGTGTCGCTTGTGCGGGGGCGGCGCAGCGTTTATCCACCCGCGCCCGCCCGCCCGCCCGCCCGCCCTCAGGCCTTGCCCCTCCGCAGGCGCGGGAGTGCTCGCCGGCCGCGGCAAGCACCTCCTACCTCTCCTCGCGCGTCAGGCAAGGTGGGGGCAAGCGTGGCGGCGCGGGACGCGCGGCGGCGGCGGCGAGCAGCCGAGCGCTCCGTGCGCGGTGAGGCGGCCGGGCGAGGGCGCGGCGGGTGACGGGGCAAGGGAGCAGCCGGGCGTGGAGCGGCAGAGCGCGCGTCTCTGGCTGACAGACGGAGCAGCGACACCGCGCCAGCGGTCGCTGCTCCGCCCCTCCGTCGCGCGCGCCGCGCGCGCGCTGCGCCGCTGCCACTGTTATCACTGGAGAGCGTGAGCCGTGGCGTGTGTGCGGGAGCCGCACGGTGCGGCGAGAGAGAGGTCTCCACACTCCAGAGGTGAGAGCAACCCAGCAAGCGCGCGAGAGTGGAGAGACCCGAGAGACGGTGCGGCGAGAGATCGCGTGTTTTCTTGTTGTAAAATACTCAAACACATACCCTCCAACCGGGTGGCGCGCGGCGGGCCGGCAGCGCCGAGCGCTGCACCTGCAGCGTGGCGGCTGGCAGCCCGGGCTGGCGCCCTGGCGCGCACGACACCGCACGAGGCGCGCGCGCGCGGCGGTAGGGGACGTCTGTGGCACGCCGCGGCCAGGTCGGTCGACGCGAGCCGGTGGCAGGTCGAGGCGGACGGAGGGCGCCTCTTCTTTGTGCGGGTCGCGGAAAAGGCCGCATCGTCGCGCTCTCCGCCGAGGCCCGCCCAGTGTGCAATCTTTACCGGTATGGGAGTTTTTGGCTAATCAAACCCAAGGCCTGCACTAATCAAAAAGTGGTACGGGATACCAGTTGCCTCACGGAAATCAAAGCGAGTCGGAGTGCCTTCTTGGTGGCAAAATCGGCAAAATCGGCAAAATACCGGGTATTTTGCGGGTATACCTGAAAAAACCCGGGTATACCCGGGTGATACCCGCACTTTTGCATGGTTTCGCCCCCGGGACCACACCGACAGCCGCTACAACTACTGAAAACCCCGCATACCACTTTCGCATACCACTATACCATACCACTCCAAAACTAATCAAAATATCGCCAAATACCAGTCTCATACCGGTAAAGATTGCACACTGGGCCCGCCTCGGCGACGGCGCTCGCCACGCAGCAGCACGCAGCAGCAGGCCAGCAGCAGCAGCGCAGCAGCAGCAGCAGCAGCAGCAGCATGGCAGCACTCGCTCTGAGCCTCTTGACACATGATTACACTACACAGTCCTCCCTTCGGTTGTCGTTTCGACCCTGTTTTTTTCTTCTATCGCAGCGCACTCGCATCTGTGAGCCTAGCGCAGCGCGAACTCGCCACCCACGCGCACCGGGCCTTGCACTTTAAATGCCGTGGGGCTCCTGTCGTTAGACGTGGAGACGCGAGGGTTGCCCCCCCTTGCCCCACCACCTCGTGTGTGTGGAGAAGTTTACCTTACCTTACCTTACCTCGCCGTCTGGGCCTAGCGCAGCGCGAACTCGCCGTCTGAGCCTAGCGCAGCGCGAACTCGCTCTGAGCCTAGCGCAGCGCCTCGGAAAACACCATTTTGGCTCGCCAACAAGCCCTCCGCGCCCCCACACCGTTAGTGTACTACTTTTTCTTCTTTTCCGTCGTTCCAGATATACATTATATGGCCGCCCGGCACCCCTGCGCTTCCGTCCGGCCGGGCGAGCGCTTCGACTGCGTCCATGGTGACCGCGGCGCTTGGCGGACTGGCCGGCGGTGGAACATCACCAGCCTCGACAGCTGCGTCCGGCGCTGCCGCGAGTGCGACCGCTGCGGATTTGCGTCCTTCTCAATGCGGGAGCGGTCGTGCGCGTGGTCCGCCGCGTGCGACGCGCCAGTGGTCTCGCCGCAGCGGTATGCGTCCTTCAGGACCGTCTCAGTGCGCGGGCCGCTCGGGCCGGCCCCGCCGATGCCAGTCCGCGCCCGGTGCCCGCGGCGACGGCGGCAGGAGAGTTCCGCTGCTCCCGCGAGCGCAACGATTTACGGCGCGCTGACGGACGTCGCGAGTGAAGGCGACGAGCGGCGCAGGGCGTGCGCGAGTGCTCTCGCGTCCGCGTCTCCCGCGCCTCCCGGCCACCGGTGCCCCAGCTGCGCCCAGGAGCAGTTTCCGCCGTCGCCGGGCCGGCAGAGGGTGGCATGTATCGGCGACTCCATCACCCGAGGCGACGCCAGCCACGAGCCCGGCAGAGGGACGCACCCACCCTTCAAGCGGCAGCTGCAGGGCCGCGGCAACTGGCCGGCGATGCTCCAGGCGGCGCTGGGAGAGGCGTTCGTTGTCGGGTCCTTCTCGCACGGCGGCCGAACCGCCGCCGACGGCCCTGCGGCGCTTCGCCGCACCGCGGAGTGGCGTTCGGTCAGCTGCTTCCGACCCGACGTGGTTGCGCTGATGGTTGGCTCGAACGACGCCAAGCCTGAGACGTGGGGCCCTGCCATGGCCTTCCCGAGAGACGGGTACGTCGAGGCGCTGCTCAGCCTGGCTCGCGAGCTCCTCTCCCTGCCCTCGCGGCCACGGCTACTGCTGCTCGTGCCTCCACCCGCGCACGCCGTCGACGCCGCCGAGGCCGCGCTGCTCGGCGTTGGCTACCCGCGCGGCTCGGTCGGCGGCGCAAACCTCGACAAGGGCGTCATCTCGACGCTCCTCCCGCCGCTGGTGGGCCGCGCCGCACGTGTCCTCGCCTCGGAAGGAGCGCCCGCCCAGCTCGTCGAGACCGCGTTCGGCGGCTGCCCCGCCAACCAGAGCGCGTGTTGCGAGCTGCTCGCCGGCGACGGGATCCACACCAGCGCCGCGGGCTCGGCGCGGCTCGCGGAGGCGGTGCGGGCGCGCCTCGTGGGGGTGGGGTGAAGCAGCTCACGTGAGAGTCGAGACGATCAGTGGGTGAGTGGGTCCGGGCGTGGGCTTCCCGCATCTCTCAAAAGGTAAAAGGTACGGTAGGTAGTACGTCAGTACGTCGTTTTGGCGCTGAACTTCTCCACACACAAAGTGGTGTTTCGCGTTTCCGGCTCGAGCGCGGAGACCAGTGTGCAGTGACCCCACCGAGTCCGGAGGCGGAGCGGAGCGAGCGGCGAGAGTCTGCTACTCTAGAGACCGGCTTCTAGCTCTATTCAGAGGGCAGTGCCACAGACGAAGCGCCCTCAATCCGGCCTCCCACGTCTTCGGGCCCCATCACAACGACCGTGACGCCGTCGTTGTGTGGGAGCATGAGCACATACGGCACGCCCATCGGTGCAAATGCCCGCATGCGCGCAGCGCACATGCTTCGGCCAAGCATGATGGTCTGCACTGGCGCCGCGAATCTGGTCTCTGGAAGCGCAAAGGCGCGCACCCACGAGTTGAAGAACACCTCAGCGCATCCACCAGAGCCCTGCCCGATCTTCCAATCAACGAAGTCGCGCGCGCGCCACAGCGGCACGGCGCGGCGGAGCGCTGCCGGCACTCCGGACGGCGCCTCGGCCACCACGTCCTGCGTTGAGATCGCGACGCCAAAGAGGTCGCCCGCCCCAACGGCTTGCCTGTAGTCGACCATCAGCGCGACGCTCGTGGCACCGACTGCTTCCGCAACCTCGCCACACAGGGCATCGTTGGCTGAGAGCGGCGACCCGCCCTCGGGGTCGAAGCGCGCGGCGAGAGCGGCGAGCGCGGTGCGCGAGCGGTGATACGTGGTCACCGCTGGCGCAAAGGCCGTCCCGTGCGGCATTTTGAAAGGCCGATGGTGTGCTCGCCACGCGTCGGGGATGCCATCGGACGCAACGACAGGTGCGGCGCCGAAGCCAGCCGGCGCAGCGGGCAACACCGACGCGTCAAAAGAGACCGGCTCGTCGGTTGTGTCGCCGCGGTATGCCGCTGACCATGCGCGCAGGAACACGCCGAGGCTGCGAGCGTCGACGATACCGTGGCTCACTGAAATCGCAATCAGCTGACCCTGATCAAAGTCGGTCACCTTGATTCGAGTCGGCGCGTCGGCCGCGACCTCATCCGTCAAGAACGTTCTCGTAGCACAGACCAGACCGTCTTCACCGTCTTGAGTAACCGGGCATAAGCCGCCAGTGGCATTTCTTTCCACCCAAGAAGCCCGTTAGGGGCGGGGGCGACCGAATATTCATTCTAGCCGCAATGCCTATTAAAAATAATCGGGCAACTCCGCCTCTACGTCAGGGTCCAGCGGCTCATCGCAACGCGCGCTGTCGACATCGCTGGCTGCATCGTCATCGGAGCTCTCGTAGTCAAGGTCTTGCTCTCTCACAGTGAGCCCTAAGCTCACCATGAAGTCCGCGAGCCGGCCCGTTTGTGCCGTTTGCCCCTCGAGCGGGAGCACCCACAAGTGGGGGAGTGTGGGGTCACTGTACTTGATCGAGGTGTAGTGAAGTGCAGGGAAGCGTCGGAGTAGCTGCGTAAGGCAGTTGCCCTGCTCTAGCCTGGCCTCGCTTTCAACGATCGCGATGGATGGCGGCAGCGGCCCGTCCGGGCCCTCGAAATCTTCGCTGCTACCGAGCACGATGGCCCGATCGCTGACCGCGGCGCGTGGACAGGGCGCCGATGGAGCAAGCGACGATGGCGCCGCGCGTATCCGCCCGTATCTCGTATCCTGAGCCCTGGTGTCGAGGTGTCGAGGCCCGGTGTCGAGGGTGTCGAGCTGCTGTCGAGGGGTAGAGGTGTCGAGGCCTGTCGAGGCCTGTCGAGGCCTGTTGAGGCCTGTCGAGGCCTGTCGAGGCTGAAACCACGCTTGCCAGTGTCGAGGGGTGTCGAGGGGTGTCGAGGGGTCGTCGAGGGGTGTGCGCTTTCCAACGAAAGATGTCCAGTGGCAATGCTACTGTGGTGCAGATGACGCACAATACGTTCTGGCAGAACTTCTCCCTTCTGGGGCGTCGAGGGTGGCGGCGAGGTGGAGTACGCCATCATGCAGAACAGGGATAGATCCTAACGACCGCGGGAAATATGATGCGGACTGGGAAGATGTGTATTAAGACGATAGCGAACGACCCTGGGGCCGAAGACGATAGCGAACGGCAATCGGTGCAAGTCCGGCATACGCGCAGGTGCGACCGTGTGTGTGTACTCACTCACTCACACCAGGTGCGACCCTCTAACTCGATCTGAACGCTTGATTGAAGTGTTTGCGGACGCCGTGGACTGGACTGGAACTGGCCCGGGAGGCGGGAGGGTGGGATTGCTAACATGAAGAGGCTCGAGCAAGGTCTGGTGAAGAATGCGGACAAGCGGCGGGAGTTCTACCTTAGATATAGCCGCCCCGTCACACTTCAGACTTCACTGTCTGTGGGGTTCTGTACCCTGTTGTCTTCTTCTTTCTTCCCTGTTGGTGCCTGTAAAGGGAAGAAAGAAACCGACGGCCCGAGCTAGGAAAGACACGTCCCCACCTTTGTTGCTTGTGCCGGATCTGTCCCAATCCAACGCTCTTTATACTCGTTTATTCACGAGGTTCCCTAGTGGCGTGCTGTGGAAAAAACAGCGAAGTGACGCCTGCCCCCCCCCCCCGGGGGGGGGGGGCAAAATCCAACCCCTTACGCACTCTTCACACAGGGGCACTCACAGCACACTACAGTGTGTACACGGGGCCGACTACAGTGTTCACAGCGGGGCCGAAGGTTCACGGGGCCGACTACAGTGTGTACAGCGGGGAGGAGTGGGCAAAGATGGTGTTGTTGTGGCGAGGAAAGTTTTAAAACGGCTCTTGTCCGCTTGGGTGTTCTTCCCATCCTCCATTCATGCATCCCCGTCATGCTGGGGTGATCAGTAGTAGGGAGCTCGCCGTCCACAACGTGGGGCTCAATGGATATGAGGAACGCGGGGCTCCGATAGGGTCCCGCGCCGGTCGGGTTGGTGTACCGACGGGGACCCTAACCCGCTGAACCTCCCGGCTAGGCCGGTAGGGGACGGGGCGGCACTCGTATAGCAAGGCCCGTGGGGCACTCGCCACGGGCCGCTCCCACATGTCCCGGGCACAACTCCTCCGGAGAGTTCGCCCACCACAGGACCGATGTCCATGTGGGTCAGTCAGTGTTCGTTGTGGCGACCGAGTGCTCGCTGAGCGGCACCGAAGTGTGTCGCTACGGGCGGGATATGCTAGCTATTCTCGATTGCTCACCTTGATACGATTGCTTGCGCGAAGGCAGCGGAGGCGCGCAGCGAGAGACAAGCGATCCTGCTGCTGCAAGAGCAAAGCAGGTTAGGCCGAGCGACTGTCGACTCGAGCGTTGGTCGATCTGCGCGTGTAGGCGGAGTAGATAACCACCACGGCCGCGGCACACCTCGCAAAGGTGGCCCATGTGTAGAGCGCACCGAGAGGTCGCGCGACGGGGCCGAGTCGAGCGTCGCGCTCAAGCCGTTGCCTCTGGTCTGCATCGTGCGCCACACGGCGGCGCGTCGATAGCGATGTAGCGCCCCAGGGGCACCCGAGAGGGCGCCTGCGCGGCTGAGGGGCGCACTAGAGGAGCCCGGTGAGCCCTAGCGAGGCGCGGGGCGCGCTCGAGCGGGCGGCCGCTATGAACGTCTGAGTATGCCGAGATGAGGCATGCTCGTGTAAGAGGCGGCGAGGCGGCTGCGGCTGCAGGCGGCCTTCTCGCCAACGGCACGTGACGCGAAGGCGTGCGGTGCGTGTAGAGGAGGCGCAGGGCGCCTCGCGAAGGCGGCCAGCGCATGTGTGGCGCGCCGAGAGGTCGTTCGACGCAGCGAAGTAGAGCGTCGCGCTCGATCGACCCGAGCAGCTGTCTCTGGTTTGCGTCGTGCGCCACACGGCGGCGCGTCGCGGGCGATGAAGCGCCTCGAGGGCACTCGGGAGGGTGCCTGTCTGGCTGAGGGGCGCGCTACAGCGGCATGGTGAGCCCTAGCGAGGCGCGGGGCGCGCTCGAGCGGGCGGCCGCTATGAATCTCTGAGTATGCCGAGATGAGGCATGCTCGTGTGAGAGGCGGAGAGGTGGCTGCGGCTGCAGGCGGCCTTCTCGCCAACGGCACGCGGCGCGAAGGCGTGCGGTGCGTGTAGAGGAGGCGCAGGGCGCCTCGCGAAGGCGGCCAGCGCATGTGTGGCGCGCCGAGAGGTCGTTCGACGCAGCGAAGTAGAGCGTCGCGCTCGATCGACTCGAGCAGCTGCCTCTGGTTTGCGTCGTGCGCCACACGGCAGCGCGTCGCGGGCGATGAAGCGCCTCGAGGGCACTCGGGAGGGTGCCTGTGCGGCTGAGGGGCGCGCTAGAGCAGCCCGGTGAGCCCTAGCGAGGCGCGGGGCGCGCTCGAGCGGGCGGCCGCTATGAGTCTCTGGGTATGCCGAGATGAGGCATGCTCGTGTGAGAGGCGGAGAGGCGGCTGCGGCTGCAGGCGGCCTTCTCGCCAAAGGCACGTGACGCGAAGGCGTGCGGTGCGTGTAGAGGAGGCGCGGCCCGCCTCGCGAAGGCGGCGAGCGCATGTGTGGCGCGCCGAGAGGTCGTTCGACGCAGCGAAGTAGAGCGTCGCGCTCGATCGACCCGAGCAGCTGTCTCTGGTTTGCGTCGTGCGCCACACGGCGGCGCGTCGCGGGCGATGAAGCGCCTCGAGGGCACTCGGGAGGGTGCCTGTCTGGCTGAGGGGCGCGCTACAGCGGCACGGTGAGCCCTAGCGAGGCGCAGGGCGCGCTCGAGCGGGCGGCCGCTATGAACGTCTGAGTATGCCGAGATGAGGCATGCTCGTGTGAGAGGCGGCGAGGCGGCTGCGGCTGCAGGCGGCCTTCTCGCCAAAGGCACGTGACGCGAAGGCGTGCGGTGCGTGTAGAGGAGGCGCAGGGCGCCTCGCGAAGGCGGCCAGCGCATGTGTGGCGCGCCGAGAGGTCGTTCGACGCAGCGAAGTAGAGCGTCGCGCTCGATCGACTCGAGCAGCTGCCTCTGGTTTGCGTCGTGCGCCACACGGCGGCGCGTCGCGGGCAATGAAGCGCCTCGAGGGCACTCGGGAGGGTGCCTGTCTGGCTGAGGGGCGCGCTACAGCGGCACGGTGAGCCCTAGCGAGGCGCGGGGCGCGCTCGAGCGGGCGGCCGCTATGAATCTCTGGGTATGCCGAGATGAGGCATGCTCGTGTGAGAGGCGGAGAGGCGGCTGCGGCTGCAGGCGGCCTTCTCGCCAAAGGCACGCGGCGCGAAGGCGTGCGGTGCGTGTAGAGGAGGCGCGGCCCGCCTCGCGAAGGCGGCCAGCGCATGTGTGGCGCGCCGAGAGGTCGTTCGACGCAGCGAAGTAGAGCGTCGTGCTCGATCGACTCGAGCAGCCGCCTCTGGTCTGCATCTCGCGCCACGAGGAGGCACGCCGCGAGCTAGGGGGCGCCTCGAGGGCACTCGGGAGGGTGCCTCGCGAAGGCGGCGAGCGCATGTGTGGCGCGCCGAGAGGTCGTTCGACGCAGCGAAGTAGAGCGTCGCGCTCGATCGACTCGAGCAGCTGCCTCTGGTTTGCGTCGTGCGCCACACGGCGGCGCGTCGCGGGCGATGAAGCGCCCCGAGGGCACTCGGGAGGGTGCCTGTCTGGCTGAGGGGCGCGCTACAGCGGCACGGTGAGCCCTAGCGAGGCGCGGGGCGCGCTCGAGCGGGCGGCCGCTATGAGTCTCTGAGTATGCCGAGATGAGGCATGCTCGTGTAAGAGGCGGCGAGGCGGCTGCGGCTGCAGGCGGCCTTCTCGCCAAAGGCACGTGACGCGAAGGCGTGCGGTGCGTGTAGAGGAGGCGCGGCCCGCCTCGCGAAGGCGGCCAGCGCATGTGTGGCGCGCCGAGAGGTCGTTCGACGCAGCGAAGTAGAGCGTCGCGCTCGATCGACTCGAGCAGCTGCCTCTGGTTTGCGTCGTGCGCCACACGGCAGCGCGTCGCGGGCAATGAAGCGCCTCGAGGGCACTCGGGAGGGTGCCTGTCTGGCTGAGGGGCGCGCTACAGCGGCACGGTGAGCCCTAGCGAGGCGCGGGGCGCGCTCGAGCGGGCGGCCGCTATGAATCTCTGGGTATGCCGAGATGAGGCATGCTCGTGTGAGAGGCGGAGAGGCGGCTGCGGCTGCAGGCGGCCTTCTCGCCAAAGGCACGCGGCGCGAAGGCGTGCGGTGCGTGTAGAGGAGGCGCGGCCCGCCTCGCGAAGGCGGCCAGCGCATGTGTGGCGCGCCGAGAGGTCGTTCGACGCAGCGAAGTAGAGCGTCGTGCTCGATCGACTCGAGCAGCCGCCTCTGGTCTGCATCTCGCGCCACGAGGAGGCACGCCGCGAGCTAGGGGGCGCCTCGAGGGCACTCGGGAGGGTGCCTCGCGAAGGCGGCGAGCGCATGTGTGGCGCGCCGAGAGGTCGTTCGACGCAGCGAAGTAGAGCGTCGCGCTCGATCGACTCGAGCAGCTGCCTCTGGTTTGCGTCGTGCGCCACACGGCGGCGCGTCGCGGGCGATGAAGCGCCTCGAGGGCACTCGGGAGGGTGCCTGTCTGGCTGAGGGGCGCGCTAGAGCACCCCGGTGAGCCCTAGCGAGGCGCGGGGCGCGCTCGAGCGGGCGGCCGCTATGATACTCTGAGTATGCCGAGATGAGGCATGCTCGTGTGAGAGGCGGAGAGGTGGCTGCGGCTGCAGGCGGCCTTCTCGCCAACGGCACGCGGCGCGAAGGCGTGCGGTGCGTGTAGAGGAGGCGCAGGGCGCCTCGCGAAGGCGGCCAGCGCATGTGTGGCGCGCCGAGAGGTCGTTCGACGCAGCGAAGTAGAGCGTCGCGCTCGATCGACCCGAGCAGCTGTCTCTGGTTTGCGTCGTGCGCCACACGGCGGCGCGTCGCGGGCAATGAAGCGCCCCGAGGGCACTCGGGAGGGTGCCTGTCTGGCTGAGGGGCGCGCTAGAGCGGCACGGTGAGCACTAGCGAGGCGCGGGGCGCGCTCGAGCGGGCGGCCGCTATGAGTCTCTGAGTATGCCGAGATGAGGCATGCTCGTGTAAGAGGCGGCGAGGCGGCTGCGGCTGCAGGCGGCCTTCTCGCCAAAGGCACGTGACGCGAAGGCGTGCGGTGCGTGTAGAGGAGGCGCGGCCCGCCTCGCGAAGGCGGCCAGCGCATGTGTGGCGCGCCGAGAGGTCGCCCAGCGCGGCGGAGTCGGGCGTCGCGCTCGATCGACTCGAGCAGCTGCCTCTGGTTTGCGTCGTGCGCCACACGGCGGCGCGTCGCGGGCGATGAAGCGCCTCGAGGGCACTCGGGAGGGTGCCTGTCTGGCTGAGGGGCGCGCTACAGCGGCACGGTGAGCCCTAGCGAGGCGCGGGGCGCGCCCGAGCGGGCGGCCGCTATGAGTCTCTGAGTATGCCGAGATGAGGCATGCTCGTGTGAGAGGCGGAGAGGCGACTGCGGCTGCAGGCGGCCTTCTCGCCAAAGGCACCACGGCGCGAAGGCGTGCGGTGCGTGTAGAGGAGGCGCAGGGCGCCTCGCGAAGGCGGCCAGCGCATGTGTGGCGCGCCGAGAGGTCGTTCGACGCAGCGAAGTAGAGCGTCGCGCTCGATCGACTCGAGTAGCTATCTCTGGTTCGCGTCGCGCGCCACACGGCGGCGCGTCGCGGGCGATGAAGCGCCCCGAGGGCACTCGGGAGGGTGCCTGTGCGGCTGAGGGGCGCGCTGCAGCGGCACGGTGAGCCCTAGCGAGGCGCGGGGCGCGCTCGAGCGGGCGGCCGCTATGAATCTCTGAGTATGCCGAGATGAGGCATGCTCGTGTGAGAGGCGGAGAGGCGGCTGCGGCTGCAGGCGGCCTTCTCGCCAAAGGCACGCGGCGCGAAGGCGTGCGGTGCGTGTAGAGGAGGCGCAGGGCGCCTCGCGAAGGCGGCGAGCGCATGTGTGGCGCGCCGAGAGGTCGTTCGACGCAGCGAAGTAGAGCGTCGCGCTCGATCGACCCGAGCAACTGTCGCTGGTTTGCGTCGCGCGCCACACGGCGGCACGTCGCGAGCGATGCAGTGCGCCCCGAGGGCACTCGGGAGGGTGCGAGTGAATAGGCAAGGCTCCGACGCTATCATTGAGTTGCTATCGTGGGCGTGCCACGCCCTCGATCGTCGGCGAGAGGCACCCAGCGAGCGGCTAGCGCGGGGGGCCGATCGTCATTGGGTCATTATCGTGGGCGTGCCCCCGCCCTCGATCGTCTGCGATGGGCGCCCAGCGAGCGCAGAGCGCGGGGGGGCGACACACGCGACAGGTGCTCTGTGAGCGACCTGTGAATGATAGATGTGAACAGGCGAGGTTTGACGCCATCGCCCTCACGCCCTGCATGGTGGCAGAGAAGGGGAAGGTCGGTGGGTGCGCGAAGCGTTGTCGCGGGGCCCAGAGCCGGGCGCGAGGCGCTCGGCTGTGGTAGGCAAGTGGGCGAGCGCCATTGGGCGGCTCAGCCATAGGCACGTCGTAGGAACGCGTTGTCTTGAAAGTAGGCGCGTACGTCCTCTTTCGTTTTCACAGCAGAGCCAGACTCTGTGTGTGAGGGCTGGATGCACCAGTACTCCGGTGTGAAGAAAGGCTACCGCCCCGCTCGTACCTCGCGGGGCTACCGCTCATTCTTCCCATCCTCCATTCATGCATCCCCGTCATGCTGGGGTGATCAGTAGTAGGGAGCTCGCCGTCCACAACGTGGGGCTCAATGGATATGAGGAACGCGGGGCTCCGATAGGGTCCCGCGCCGGTCGGGTTGGTGTACCGACGGGGACCCTAACCCGCTGAACCTCCATCGAGTAAGTATTGAAGTGGGTTAGGATCGAGAGAGCTCGTATCCATTGAGTCCCGTGTGGAGGGATCGAGATCATTCGTTTACATGATGTGTACAAATTTCATCCTTCCCCTGAGCGCACGAGAGCGACAGTGTCGGGTCGGGCCCAGCAGCCAGTGAGGACAAGCACGCCGCGGTGGCTCGCGCCGTCGAGCGCGTGCACGCCTCAATTACAGAGGGCTTTCCAGAGCGCAAGGTCCACCTCGTACCCGGCATGTACAGCGAGAGTTTGACGCCCCAGCTCGCTGCACGCATCCTGCGGACCTCTGGGCCCGCCTCCTTCATTGACATTGACAGCGACCTTTACATCAGCGCCAGGCAGGCGCTCGACTGGGTCTTTGAGCACGGGCTCGCCCGCGTGGGCACGGTCATTCGGTATGATGACTGGTGGACGCTAGCGTGCGCCACGCGCAACCCGCGCAACCGCAACTACCACCGGGACGCAGCGTCCATCGAGAGCTACGGAGGGGAGCCGCTCGCCCACGAGGAGGTTGCGCATCGGCACGGCGTCACCTTCGCGTGTGCGTGCGGCCCGTGCGACGCCGAGAGCGGCGGACCGATGTCTCGATACTTTGCGACCGGGCACGTGGGCTTCAACCCCTTCTTTCGCGTCGCGAAACTGAGCGCGCCGCCGGGAAACACGGGATTTGCCGCCAACGGGACGATGGTTGGGCGTTTCCTCGACAGGATGCCCGTGTGCAGAAACTACCGTTCTCGCGGTTCGTTCGCGCTGTCTAGTCATAGCAACACCGCTCATGTCTGAAAAAAGCGGACTGTGTGACTTACATGCCGTTGCCGTGTCCCGCTTAAGTCTTTCGAAGAGATCGAGCGGCGCGTGTCGAGTGTCGTGGGCGTCTCTGAAACCAAGCCAACGGCAACGCATGCGGCAACGCCAGCGCTCGCACGTCGCGCAGCACTGCCATAACGACGCGGCAGCCACAGCAACCAGCTGACAGCGCAACATACGCACCCGCACCCACACCCACGCAAGCTCACACCCACCCGCGCGCACAAACGCCCGGTCTAGCGGCCACCCCTCAAAACACGCCATCCCACGTCTTGACCTTCGGTGCCCTCTCCCGCTGCCGCGAGCGCCACTCGGGGTCGACCCACGTCTTCGCCGCCTGCGCGGTGTCGGGCGGGAGCATGCCCTGGCCGAGGATGTGGTCCGCCATTTTCTCCGCCGTCATGATGGTGGGCGAGTTCAGGTTGCCGTTCGGAATGACAGGGAAGAGGGACGCGTCCACCACGCGCAGCTTGCGGACGCCGTGGACGGCGCCGTCAGCGCCGACGACGGCGGTGGGGTCCGAGGCCTACATTGTTGCACAGCATCAGAGCGGGAAGACGGTGTCGTGCCGTGCACTCGCAGCACCGCTGAATACGGTCGGATCCAGCGGAACACGTGTCCTCTCGAGCATTCCCGAGCACTAGTTGGGATGCAAGAATACAAGTATTCGCTTCTAGGGTCCGAGACTGGGCCCATCTTGCAGGTGCCGCACGGGTGGTAGGCAGACTCGAGGTGCTCGATAAGAAACTCGTCGATCTGCCACCAGAGGGTGGGGGGAGGCACGGGAGAGGGTGTAAACGGACGGCGTGCGGAGGCGGCAGGGTGGCTTCGCGGCACGCGTTCGCTCTGGCCGCCCCAACCTCTCGGCCGCCTCCTCTCGGGCCTCGCGGCGGGGACCACGCTCGCGGCGGGCTTGCCTCTGCGTCGGTCTGCGCCGCGTAGCCCGGCTGGATCTCGTCGCCGCACAAGCCGTCAAAGGCGGGCTGCGCCATGATCTCGCGCGTGATCCGGATCGCGGCGCGGAAGCCGCGCCAGTCCTCGTCGGTCGACATGTAGTTGAAGCGGGCGATCGGCTTCACCGGCGAGCCTGCAGGGGGAATACGCCGAATAAACAAGTAAATAAAGCGGGCAATGCTGATGAGATGGATGGTGGGTCCCCGCCTGCACGATATTGGTGTGAGGTATCTTAAATCCGGGGCTCAGGGAATGAATACGCCGGCATCGTGCAGAGGCTTCACAGCACCGCGTGAATACGAGGGAGGCGAACGCAGTGAATACAGCTGAATACGGTCGAATACAGCGAATACGTGTCCTCTCGAGCGCCAGTTGGATACAATAATACGTATTCTTCTTCTTCTAGGCTGCCAGGCCGTCCGACGGCAGCGGCGACGCGGGCCGAACCTTGGCAGAGACGATGCGCCGGTTTTTCTTGTGTGGGTGGGGGGGTGGGGGGGTTCGGCGGCGCACGTAGCCGCGCGACGGGGACTTGTTGTAGCCGACGTGAGCTTGCATCGAGTGTCCCGTGGAGGACGGCGCGAGCGTGACGCCGTCGTACGACATGCCGATCGGCAGAAAGTGCAGCTGAATGTCGGGCGCCTCGACGCCGGGCCGCGAGCGGACGAAGCCGCCGACCTCGAAGTGGTTGGTCGCGCCGAGCCCCTCCTTGGTGACCAGCCAGTGGGCGCCGAGGGAGCCCTTGCCCGCGAGCGAGAGGTGCGAGGCGAGCGAGACGGGCTTCAGCACCTCGTAGCTCTGGTAGACCTCCATGTGGTCCTGCAGGGGGGGGGGGTCTCCACACACGCGAGAGGGTGGGGGAAAGGGACAAGCGACCCTCCACTCCACGCCTACAGGACAGGGGCCCCACGGCATTCAAAGCGCAAATGCGCGTGGGTGAAAGCGGTGGGAGTGTGGGCAGAGCGCCGTGGGCCGACCAGACAGCACGCTGGGAGTGCCCCCCCCCCTCCCCCCCCCCCCCCCTGCGGTCCTGCAAGTTCTGCCCGACACCCTCGAGCGGCGCCACCACCCCCACGCCGAGCTCCGAGAGCAGCTTTGGAGGCCCGACGCCCGACAGCTGCAGCAGCATCGGCGAGGCGATCGAGCCTGCGGATGACGGTGGACGCGCACATGTGCATGTCGTGGACGTGTCGCGAACGTGTCCTGCGAAAGGGGCCGCACCGGCGCACAAGACAACCTCCTTGTTGGCGGTGGCGACTGCCTTTTGCGACCCACCCCCGACCGAGAACTCCACGCCCTTCGCCGTCGGGGCGTCGCCCCCATCCTCCCATAGGATGCGCCGCACGTGCGCGTTTGGCTGCACGCTGAGCGACGGATGCGCCTAAGGCAGCGTGGCACCCGCGCCTCGACCGCCGGCTCGAGGTAGGCGAGAGAGCGCCGAGAGAGCGCCGAGAGAGCGCCGAGAGAGCGCCGAGAGAGCGCCGAGAGAGCGCCGAGAGAGCGCCGAGAGAGCGCCGAGAGAGCGCTGAGGTGAGGCTGCGCCTCCATCGCCGGCTCGAGATAGGCGGCGCGGCACGACGCGCGCTCGCCCTTGTAGCTTCCAGAGTGGAAGACGGTCATCGGCATCTTGGAGGTGCCCTCCTGCGAGCCACGAGCGCCGAGATGAACCGTCGACCGAGATGACAGCCAGCCGAGGTGACAGCCCGCCGAGGTGGCAGCCGAGGTGACAGCCGAGAGGAGAGCTGAGGCGACAGCCGACCGAGCTGACAGCCGACCGAGCTGACAGCCGAGACTTTAAAGGTTGCCCTCCTGCCGGCAGCCGTTGTAGTCGTATGTCGCGCCGTAGCCAGCCTCGTCGCCCGCGCGCACAAATGCGTCGTACAGCGGCGTGCCGAGCATGTTGGTGCCGTGCTTGACCTGCAGAGGCCCGTCCGTGCCCCGCCGGCCCGGGAGGATGTCACTGTCGTCCCCCATGAGCGCGTTCTCACAGACCTATCACACGGACGCTCCGAGAAGGTTCCGAGAAGGTTCGGGGGAGAATCCTGGCGACATCTCGCAGGCCGTCTCCATCCGCCGAAAGTACGGCAGCACGTCCGCTGCGCCTGTACGTATTTGTGCCGCTGTGAAGGGTCGGACAGCTTCCAGGGAGGGACTCAGGCGCTTGGGCTAAGTGGTGGTGGCGGTGATATGGCGAGGGCGGCGGCGGCAGCGGCGGCGGCGGCGGCGGCGGCGGCGGCGGCGGCGGCGGCGGCGGCGGCGGCGGCAAGGGCCGCGCACCCCAACCACCGCCGCCGTCGCCGAAGCCGGCGTTCCACGTGTCGTAGTCGCGGTCGTGGCCGCGCACGTACACCTGCGGCGGGCCACGAGGGTTGCTCGAAACGTCGCAGCATACGCACCGCCGCCGGGCCGAGGGCGGCGATGAGCGAGGGATGTGCTGCAAGCGGCGGGCGAGCTCTCGAGAGGCGTCCGACGCAAGGGTTTGGGCGAGGGGAGAGGCATGCACGCCATCCCGTTGATGGCGGACGAGCCTCCGAGGCCCTTGCCGCGTGGGCAGGTGACGCGGCGGCCGCGGAGCACCGGCTCCGGCTCCGCCAGATAGCCCCAGTTGTAGCCCTCGAAGTGCATCGGCAGCGCCAGCGCCGTCGGAAGCCTGTCGAGTCAGGAGAAGGAAGGAGGTCGCGACTGGCGCGCCAGAGGGACCCGGCGAGGTTGGATGAGGCCAGGATACAACCGGCACTCGCACCTCGAGAGAAGAGACGGCCGGTCGAAGGAGGTCTCACCGCCGGCGCCACCAGATTCGAGCAGGAGGACGGAGGCGCCGGTGCGAGAGAGGCGGTTGGCAAGCACGCAGCCGGCGCTGCCGGCGCCGACTATGACGTAGTCGGCGCTCCTGCGGAGCGCCATACACACACACACACGTCTATATCGTCGGGGGTCGCCCGACCGTCCGGCTGGAAAACAACTCTCTCTCGAGGTTCTCGAGGTGGATATCCTTTGGCCGCGTTGGGTAGCGAGGATTGGTGTAACGCCCCCCACAGCAAATCGGTTTTTGCCCTTAACTAGTGCCGTTTTCGTTGGACCAATTTTCGCTTGACTTGGTCGGTTTGAGCACTATTTTCAGCCAACGCCCACAGCAAATCGGTGAAAACCTGCTCTGAATGAGCGAGTTTTGTGGCTTATCCGGCTTCCGTCGGTCGTCCCGTGACTGATCGCGCCGCCGCGTTGCACATTGGACACATGCTCTCGCGCGTGGCGCTGACGGGGACTATTGTGCGCCTCGGCGAGGCGCTTCCGGTGGTATTTTTTTCGAGCGCAGTGGACTTCATATTGCCGGCGGACTGCGGGGGGTCTCAAACGGGAGTTGTAGCCCGCCCGCAGTTGACCGGCAAGATGAAGTCCACTGCGCTAGAAGGGCATCGCGGCGATCAAGTCGCTTATCGAGTCGGAGGACCCGAACTCCAAGAACGTGCGCACGAAGACGCTGCGCGCGGATCTCGAAAAGGCAGTCTCCCCCGATGCTCTCAAGGACCTCACGTCCGCGAGCCTCGCCAAGTTCAAGACCGGCATCGAGCTGGCGAACAAGTTCCTCAAGGGCTCCCAGTGGCACCTCCCCGACGAGGTGATCGAGGAATACATCCTCGACGCGATCGCCGCCAAGGGGGCCACGCTCGGCGCAAACATGCGCGTGCAGATCAGCATGCAGCGCCAACTCGCCGAGTACTCGGACAGGACGTACGGCCTTGGTGCTGGGTGCGGGTGCGGAACGGGCTTTTTTTAACTCGCAACCAACTATACTATACAAGGACACCCTCAGGGGGGACACTCGGCGCATGTGCGACGCGTCAGGGTGGAGTTGGCGGTGGCCGAGCGTCGTCTCCAGATCGACTCGCAGCGCGGAGTCGAGGGGTGAAGCGCGTCGCGCTGCGACACTCGAGAGCCGGCGGGATAGCCGTGGGGCGCGGCCGACTTTGAAGTCCTCAAAGATCCGGTGCGCATTCGTCCTCTGAGACCCACGCGTACAGGAAAGGGGCGAGAACGCGGCCGGGTTGTTGCACGTATATGGGCCAAAAGCGTCGAAAATGTCCGAAAAAAGCGTGAGAGTTTGTTGCAGCTCCGCAGCCTGCGCGCGCTGCCGGGACGCACCGCTTGCTGGATCTGTGCACTCCCTGGGTCCCAGGGAGTGCACAGATCCAACAGGAGTGAGTAGGCTCGACGCCGTACTCGAGATGGAGCTGCAGAAAGTACGCCGCCGAACGTGCCACCGACGGCGTCCTGGCGGAGGTGGTGGAGTTTGAGAACTGAGGCTGCGGAGGTGACGCCTGAGGTACCGGCCCGTGCACGGCGACTCAGCCGGCGACCGCCACGGGCTCAGACGAGACTTGTCGACTCGTTCCATCTCAGCTTCACCGTGGTCATCGGGCGTCTGTCGACGTCAGGACCACCCATACAGCTCGCGGGTTTGAGGTCGCAAGAGCCAAGATGGTGGCGTTTGGACATCCCAACCATCACACAAGACAGCCTGTAGGTGATGGCGGGACGGCGCAGTGTTTGTGGCACTCGGCAGTAGGCACCCGCGGCACAGCCCCGCTGTCGGCTCTCGCGGGCTGCGGAACCGGCCCCAGAGGGGGACGGTCCGGGCGAGTGTGGCAGCTCCTGCGCTAGTATGGGCAGCCTCTATCATAGCACTACTGATCCTGGTCATTAGAGCTGCCAGGGATAGCGTCAGGAGCCGGTAGGAGTCAAAACCCCTCATATTTGAGAACTGGTTGGGTAGTAGTCTAAGTTCTGAGCCTCGAGGCTGAGCGGGTCTAAGTGTGACTAGTCACGCTGGGGTGCTTACGCGGTCTAAGATCAGCGAGAGCCTCTTACATCGGCTAAGTCGGCCGTGGCACAGCCTGGGGCCAAGAGGCTCCCACCGTGATCAACGATACGGCGCTAGCCCCCAAATTTTCTTCGCCTGCGGCGGGCGCCTTCTAATCCGGATCGATCCTTCTCATGCTCAGCAATCGCCGCCTCAGCATCCTCCTCTTCCGATTCTCGTTGCTCTTCTTGAGCGCAATCTTCAAGCCAAACAGTTCTCACAAATAGCCTCAAGCTCAAACAAACGCATGTCAAGGAAGCCTGTGTATGCTGGTCCTCTTTGAACGATCCGCGCGTGAGGTAGATCTAGCATAGGGCCTTGTTGGCAGCAGCCAGCTTGTTGCGCTGCTTCGTTGCGATGAGCTGATTGGGATCGCAGAAGTGCATGCCAAGCACCGCCACGATCTTGAAGCAGAACACATCGCAACCGCATCGTCCGCACTGCCATCGGCATGCCGCGCCCGCCGCTTCGCCGCAGCCGCCTTAAGACACGCATAGCGGCAGCACATGGTACGGTGCGCGTACTTGAGCAGGAGTTGCGCGCCGCAAGTAGCGCACTGGCCCTGGGACAAGGCGATATGGCGTCGTGCGCGGCATACGTTGGTCGGGACGCGTCCAGGTATTTTTCGGGTAAACCTGGTCGGCGGAGATTGCTAGAGGACGAGCAAGCCTGCTCTAGCCTCGCACGTTGCTTCCTGTCGTCTGTTGTTTGTTGTGCCCTTGTTTGTTTCTCTTGGCACCTTGGAGTGCTGGGGGGGGCGACAGGAAGAATGTGGCCCTGAGTTATGTATACGCCAACTCAGGGTGTGTGGCAGCCAGCTGGCTGTGTGTCTTGTGAGCTTGTTTGTGTCTGTGTGTCGTTCGTGCGTGTCGTCATCATCTGTCTCGCGTCCACCCATACCGCGTTGGTGTCCAGTCCGAGCCTGGCTGTTCTTCACCTTTCTACCTACCTACCTACCTGGACTTTTGCAGGTATACCCGGGTTTTACCCGGATTTGGCCTTGTGCCGTCTAAGTTCATGGCCCCCGACCATACAGCGTCTAAGTCCGAGCCCGGCTCCGTGCGGGGGCTAAGTTGAGCGCTCGCTCGCTGCAGAGGCTAAGTGTAGAGCGACCCTCTAGCCCTACTACCCAACCATTATTTGAGACATCGTGGCCCATATACTCGTGCAACAACCCGGCCATTCTCCATTGACAATCTAAGGCAGCCTTGAGCTAGCCCGTTCCACACAGATAACCATGACACCTCTCACCTCACCGCGCACCGCGCTGCGAGCCTGTCGTGTCCCTTGTCAGGAGCAGGAGAGCCCCACCCGTGTCCCCCTGATCGTCCTTCCAAAATCCTCTTAATCCTGCTCGTGCAGGTGGGGACCCTGTCCCCGTCCCATCCCTCGTTTGGCGTGTCTGTTTTCTTTCTTTCTTTACCTCTCTCTCTCTCTCTCTCTCTCTCTCTCTCTCTCTCTCTCTCTGTGTGTGTGTGTGTGTGTGTGTGTGTGTGTGTGTGTGTGTGTGTGTGTGTGTGTGTGTGTGGCGACGACTACTCACTTGCTCGTCTGGCTGCGGGCTGCGCGCCGGCGTCCGCCGTCTCTCCGCTCGGGGCAAGCCGCAAGCGGGTGAGGTCCAACGGTCGCTGCTCGAACCCCAGCGCGAGTGGCCTCGCGCCGCCCACGGCTCGCCCGAGCACCTCGTCCGCCTCCGCCAAGCTCATGCCGCCGATTGACACCCCGGCGACGCGCGTGAGGACGAGGCCCACCACGAGACGAGGGTGGGCCTCGGCCTGCGAGCCTCGCCGCACCTCGGTCACGCTGACCCGCACCGGCCGGCCGTCCCCCACGGCGCTCGCGTCCACGTTCTCCGGGTCCGCCGCGTCCCCAAAGCCGAAGCCGAGCCCGAGCGGGCCGGGCGCCGTCAGCGTGACAGAGACGCGCCCGGCGCACCCGTCGCTCGTCTGTGCGTCCTCGCAGAGGTACGGCTCGCCCGCGCGCGGCCGGATGAGTTCGCAGCGGTGATTGCACCGGTTCTCGTCGCCCTGCCAAAACTCGAGCACGAGCGTCCGCCGCCGCCCGCCCGTTATCCTCCCGACGCTGTGGTACTTGTAGCTAGGGAAGACGAGCGCGTCGCCGACCGAGAACTCGTGCTCGTGCAGCGCGCCACCCGCCTCGGTGGTGCCAAAGGCGCCGCCCGTGAAGCTGTCCTCGAGCAGGACGTCGACCGTGACGGTCGATCCGTTATCAAAGTGGCGAGGGTCGTTCAGCGAGCCGCCCGCTCGGCCGTCGTGCAGTTCGATGCAGCGCACGTTGAGGCTGCGCAGCAGTTCGCTGGCGGACGCCGCGTCGCCGCCGTCGAAGCGGCTCACGTCGACGCGATGCCGCAGCTCGCTCAGCCGCCGGTGCAGCTCCGGCACCGTCGCCCGGAAGAGGCCGCCGGCGCTGAGGTAGGTGGTGTGCCACCCCGGCCGCGCCTCGCGCGGCCGCCCAAGCCGCTCGTGGTGCGCACGCTCGACGCGGCCGACCTGCTCAATGTCGGCAGGCGAGAAGAAGCGCGGGATGCGGACAACCCTCGCGAGCGACGCGACCTGCCGCTGAAGCAAGGCGTCGGCGAGGGACGATCGCGCCATGACGTGTTGTGTAACCGGAGGGGCACGCCCCCGGCCCGGTTGGGAGCGGAAAGGTCTGGCGAGTAGAGGCCCCGCCCACCCAGGGTACCCTCTCCGAGGACCCATTGGGTTGGCGTGTCTGGGGAGTGGCGCCTCCTTTTACCGCTTGCGAGCGAGCACCCCGCCCCGACTTGCTTCGCATGTGAGATGCGGTGACCTCCCACGCGCTCCCTGGCCGCCCGCGCGACTCCTAGAGGACAGAGACCGTGGACGTCCCCACGGCCGCTCGCGAGCGCTCGGTGGTCAATCTCACCTCAACCACCCTCAGCGCGCGCGCGAGCGCGCCGCCACTCGGCCGCACGCGTGCACACTTGTGCCTGTGCGGTGTGGACGCGCTCTCGACGCGCTCCTCTGACACACAGGCGTCCCACTAGGTGTCCGCTGGTCCT